CTGGCTGGTGCTCCTAGACAATATGATTCTGACATCAACTAGATTTTCAGTGAACACATGCATGAGCCTCCAGCAACAGCATCTCTGGTCTACTGTATATTTATGATGCAGATACCATGACTTTTCTTTCTGAAGATACATTATTGCCTCTCAAATTCAGTTTTGGTGACACGCATATGTGTTCCTTAAGCAACGAATTTGTTGATGTCCTCCTCCTTCTGTAGGATATCAAGGGCTCTAGACATTGTAAAAATTTTCCCTGAATTCATGACAGGAATGAGTAACAATGCTGTATGGACCGCTTTCTAAAACATGGAAAAACGATTAAGGGAATTTTTATTTTTTCTCAATCTAATAAGTAGAAGGTAGAATCTTACTATTATTTTAATGTGTGATTCAGGTTACTTTCTATGTGAGCATCTATTCATTTTCTTCTTTGACATCCTGTTTTCTCATTTTGGAAATTGTCTATTCATTTAATTGCCGGTTTTATAATTGGATTTCCTGATTTTTCTAGGCTTTCCAGTTCTTTTCATATTCAAAACACTAAAGTGTGTTAGTTATAGATATTGCAAATACTTTCTTGTAGTGTTCCAACTTTCCTTTAATTATGTGATTTGAGTCTTTTACTAAACAGAAATTCTTAATTTTAATGTGGTCAAAAACTATCATTTGGTTTCCCTTTTATTCTGGGTCTTGCATAATTGATCCTCCCCATATCAAAGTCCAGGAATACAGGAGTGATGAGGGGATGGAGAGACATCCCAGAGAGAGCAAGCCTGGAAACTGCTGCCACCACTAGGCTAAAGGGACAAAGGGGGGAGGTGTTGCTACCCAAAATCACACAGAAATAGCAGGTGTCCAGGTGGGATCCTGGGCTATTTAATCTCGGCTAGATTAAATACAGGATGCCTAGTTACATTTAAATTTCAGGTCACAACTGCTCCTCCCAAGATACTCTAATTCTCAGAAATACACTGGCTTCTGCCTTTCTCCCATCCTCCAATCTCCTGAGAGTGACTTTTATTGGCTGAACTGACCAGAAGGCGGAAGACAAAGGATCTTGGAAAATATAGCTGATTCAGTGAAAGAATAGATCTAAGAGCAAATAGGCTGGAAAACTGATAAGGAATCATTTCTACTTGAATTTTTAATCAGTGAAGTCAACTGTGGCTATCCTACAGATTGGCCCTGTCAATAGCGATGGTTTCTGCCAGTCGTCTTAGTCACTAAGGGAAAGAGCTAAGACCAAAGCATCACACTGAAAGAGTCTGTGGTAGGCTGCATAAGAGCCATAAAGAGCTGTGAATTTGCCTGCGAGTTACCTATACGTGGCAATGGGAGTGACTTGTGTTTTTGATTCTATATCCTGAAGGTGCTGTTAATTTTCACTTAATCACAACCCCTCACAAACAAGAAAAGAGGCATTTTAACTGAAGGCAAAATGCTATGAGTTACTGGCCACTTAAATGCTTTCCAGGTAATTCATCACTGACCAAATGGGTCCTGTTTAGGATTAAAGCCTATGGCACAGTGTGAAAGCCCCTTCACATGGGAACAAAATTGAAAGTAAACACCAAGTTATCGTCCATGTGGACTCTAAAGCCTTTGGTTCTTAATTTCCGATATTCAGTTATTTGCTCAACAAATTGGGTTTTCTGCTCTTTGCTGGATAACACTTTGAGGGGTGGGGATAAATGAAAAATATATAATTCCTGACTTCAGGGTGTGTGTGCGTGTGAGTGATACATAAATAACCTCCAATGAAAGGTCGCTGATTCAATTTTTAAAATATTTGCATCAAATATTCTCTATTTTGTCTCTGAGACTCAATCAGAATATCTGCTATATTTGGTTGTGAAACTAGACAAACACATTTTTAAGTGATAAACCAGGGCAAATGGTCATTTCTTCTAGATTGCTGGATTCCATTATGCGTGCTCCCGTTGTTTCCTCTGGCAGGGTCTTCCTCAGAGACAGTCCTCCTCACTTCTATGGAGCTTGGGGCACCATTTTCATATGAATCAAATATATTTGAATTCATACACACACACACTCTCTCCAAAACAACCTGCAAAGAAAAATGTATTATTTAATTCATTTCAGAAGTCATGAATATGGAGGATTTAGCTAGCATTAAAGCTAGCATTATTTAATTTCATCTGTTAGATCTTTTTCCAAACTCTCTTGAGTACCGAGTAGGCAGTTTGTAGAACAAACTTGCATTATACAATATAGTTAGAAAGTACTGAACCTTGGAACAAAAAGTCACAGTTGTATTTTATTAAGTAATCTGGCTTTTAAAGTACCTGAAAATTCCACTTCGGAAAAAATAGCTAAAATGAAATAATTTAATGTGCAAAATTGTTGATATCATTTGGCAAAATTACTATATCTAATGCAATTTCATATATTGCTGATAATATATAACTCTAATTATATTACAATAAAACATGAATTTTCTTTGACATGACAAAAACATATCCAATAATTAAGGATTTAAAAAATAAGCCTGATGCTTTATTCATATATGTGTAAAAGATTCTCAAATGAGAATATTATACCTCTTTCTTTTTGTTTCTTTTAGTTGTCTTTTGAATTCTCTTTATAATATCTTTAAAGCAGACTCATCTCAGATCAGGACATTCATTCATATATGTGTGTATATATGTATATATATATGTGTATATTATATGTGTATTTATGTGTATATGTATATACATATATATGTATATAGCTTTGCTTTGGTTAAAGATTAGCAAATTCTAGCACCTATATCATCACATACATTTCAACTTGAACTACTGATGCTGAAAATAAGCATTTTTTAGGGAATCAATATTCTTTCTATACTCATTTCCCTATTATATGATAATGAGTAATAGACACTTACCAAAATATAAATGCAAACTTGATCTACTCAGAATTAAATAATAAATGTAGATGGTGTTTCAATTAACAAATTTTGTTCTTTCGAAATGGGATCAATAGAGTAATCTTATTTTTTTAATGTGACAGATAGTGTCCATTTTGAAATTCCATGGTAAAAACAACATTACTACAATCATGTTAATATAGCAATCAAAGGAAATGTGTTATCCCTGAAATGTCAAGGAAAAAAACATATGGAACAGGTTTTTTGTCTTTCTACTTGAGTCTGTATTTCTTCTAATTTTTTTTCTCTAAATGAATGAGAAAAAGCTTCTTTCCGTTCCCTATGGTTGACACTGTCTAGCACAGTTAATATACTACAGTTTGTGTCCTCAAACTCTTACAAGCTGTTACAGATTGGAAGAATATTTTGGTCTCTGAGCAGCATTTCAAGTCAAACATTAGTCTTGTGGTTCATTCCTGTGCTTAATTTCAAACAAGAGAATTGACGTTACAGCTATCTTTCAGAGAGCGAAGTGCAACTAAACTGAAGAGGAGATTCAGTATTGTAACAATGAGCCTACCGGGTTACTCCAAAAAGCTTGGTCACAGAAAGGAATCCAATATTTATTTTCTCAGTAAATTTCTATGTTAATTTGTATTTCTTTTATATACAAGGATTTCTCAAACCTAATTGATAAGATTAGTAAAATATACAAAGCTGGTTAAAGAAATCCATGCAATAGAAATGTTAAGATGGAGAGGGAAAAAGATATTCAAAAAAATATTGGATTTAGGTCCAAGATACACAAAAGTAGTCAAACAAAGAGAGGTGGGAAAGCTCAAACTCATGAAGAAATCAAAGAGGATTAAAAAATAAGAATGATTCTAAATACTTCCTATTTTATCAGCAAATCCACAAAATGAGAAATGTGTTAAATTCGTTCCTGTTTAGGATTTAAAATGTAATACAGAAATAAAAGCATTTTTAAATGAATACAAATAAATAGTAGTTAAGGATTTAGGTAGATAGTGTTTTTGATAGGTTATGGTAAGATACAGATAAGAAACAAAGTCAGTGAACAGAAAAAAGCAGTAAAAATAAATCAAAGAAACGAGAATGGTCAGTATTAAACGGATTTTATGGTAATATTCAAATGATATTAAATGTTTAATTCATAAGGGAATGAAGCACATCTAACTTGAAGTATAAAACAGAAAGGCAAAGCCCTATGATACTATGTTTCTTTAAAGAATTAAAGATAATACTGTTATATACACAGAATAATTTTAAAATGTGTTTGTAAAGTTCTATTGTTCATGTCCTTTGACATCTATCTAAAGACACAAATAAAAAACAAAGAAGCATATATATATATATATTTTATTTTGGAGGAAGATTAGCCCTGAGCTAACATCTGCCACCAATCTTCTTCTTTTTGCTGAGGAAGACTGGCCCTGAGCTAATACCCTGCCCATGTTCCTGTCTTTTATACGTGGGACACCTGCCACAGTATGGTTTGATAAGTGGTGTGTATGTCCACGCCCGGGATCTGAACTGGTGAATCCCAGGCTGCTGAAGAGGATCACTCAAACTTAACCACTATGCCACTGGGCTGGCACCAAGGAAGCACTTTTGTTTTTTTAAAGGAAGTACGTAAGAAAATGAAAGACTCTGAGCAATCATGTTATTTCTACTTAGGAATGTAAATAGATTAAATCTTTCCCGTTAAAAAAATATCATCTCTAAGAGGTTATCAGTAATTTCAGCCATCCAAGCTTTCCTTTTAAAAGATTTACTAGAAACAAAATTATTCACAAGAATTGATAGTAAATTCATTTTTAAAAATATATGTGGGAGCCGGCCGGTGGTGCAGCAGGCAAATTCGCACGTTCCTCTTCGGTGGCCCAGGGTTCGCTGGTTCGGATCCCTGGTGCCTACATGGCACCGCTTCGGAAAAGCCATGCCGTGGTAAGTGTCCCACATATAAAGTAGAGGAAGTTGGGGACGGATGTTAGGTCAGGGCCAGTCTTCCTCAGCAAAAAGAGGAGGATTGGCAGCAGTTAGCTCAGGGCTAATCTTCCTCAAAAATAAATAAATAAATAAATAAATAAAATAAAAATATATGTGGCACATTTTATTAGTTGCTTTCACATATTTTGGTTCCTTTTCTTCTATTGCCCTCCCTGTGGACGGTTACCCATCCTTGCCCTGTGGAACTCAGGCATACTTACACGTCCTACTTGGGTTGATGAAATGCCACACCAGATGAAATGATGCTTGTCATTTCCGAGTATGTATTTAAACCTGAAACTTTCTGTCGTGACAGCGGCTGATGCTCCAGATAGAGGCTGTTCCGGCATTCTGGGGCAGGGAATGGAGGCGAACTGAGGCGGAGCCACAGCAGAGCCTGAGAGGCAGGTGACGGGAGGAAGGAATGAACTTTTGTTGTTGTAAGCCACTGAGATCCAGGAAGCCATTTTTTATACATCTTAACCATTTTTTATACATCTTATCTGGCTTAGTATATCCAACGAATGTAAGCAAGCAAGAAATTAGAGGCCAGCTTACATACGTTAGAGAAACACGTTAAGGTTAAAAGTCTGGAACTGAACAAAGAACCTGGAGATAAAATTATCAACAACCTCTATGCTCCAAACCATGTTATAGTGGAAGCTATAAGGAAAATGCTCTGAAATACCAGGAGAAATGGAATGGAACACAAGCAATGTCATATGTGAGTACACTGTTTTCAATATTTAATTGATTATGTTATCAAAAATGTCTTAATTCAGGCTGCTAGACAGAAGTACCATAGAGTGATTGGCTCATAAACAACAGAAATTCCTCTCTCATAGTTCTGGAGGTTGGAAAACCAAGAGCAGGCTGCCAGCATGGTCCAGTTCTGCTGACAGCTCTTCTGGGTTGCAGACTGAGAATTTTGTTGTATCCTGACTTGGTAGAGAGCAGAGAGAGGAAGCAGGCTCTCTCAGGGACACTAATCCCATTCATGGGGTTCCACCCTCACGACCTCATATCATTCTAGTTGCTTCCCAAAGGCTGCACCTCCTAAGACCATCACGGAGGCAGGTAGGGTTTCAACTTATGATTTTAGGGGGGACACAAATATTTAGTCCATAACAAAAAATAAATACCAGGATATAAAATTGAAAATGAAATTAGAAAGGTAACACAACAGATTTATATCACACTGACCTAAAAAGACAATAAATCTAGAAATGAATGGGAAAACATTCACAAAATATTTAGTCATTTGAAAAATTACTGAATATTAAGTAAAATGGAGCAAAAACGAAAGTTAAAATGTTACTATTTTAGAAATATTTTTTAAATTGAGAGTAGTATTTAAAATATATGGATGTGGCCTATTGTATTCATGAAAATCTTAGAGCTTTTTAATTGATTCAAGAAATAAGTGTGAAAGAATAAAAATATAAAAAAGGAATACATAAAGGTATAAAAGTGAGAAAAATGAAATTGTTATAAATAGCAGAGAAAGAGTAATATTTTTTTTTTAACTAAAGGAGACAATAAAGAAACACGGAAGGAAATAAAAACTCTTTCAAAAAGCACCATGTCTAGAACAATGTATTAATTATTTTTTAAAAATCTTTAATTGTCAGATAATACCTTATACTTTTCAGACTTTGATTTACGCAAAAAGAAACTGTTCAAAACTTATCCACTCTTGGGGCTGGCCCCGTGGCCCAGTGGTTAAGTTCGTGTGCTCCGCTGCAGGCGGCCCAGTGTTTCGTTGGTTCGAATCCTGGGCGCGGACATGACACTGCTCATCAAACCATGCTGAGGCGGCGTCCCACATACCACAACTAGAAGGACCCACAACCAAGAATATACAACTATGTACCGGGGGGGCTTTGGGGAGAAAAAGGAAAAAATAAAATCTTAAAAAAACAAAAAAACCTATCCACTCTTGACTAAAAACAAGCAACGTTAAAACTTTTCTCAAACCTACTAGGTGACATGATCTTAATCAATGAAAATGTAAATTTTATATATTAAATCTGGAAGAGAATTTAAAAAATTAAAAATGCAAAGCAAAAATAATTACCAACAACTTGGTATATATTTAAAAAAACCTGTAAAACCAAGTAGTATGTGGAGACAGCTGGTGAACAGCCCTTCGGCGTTGCCTGTAGGTGTGTAAATTGTTACACCTTTTGTGAACATTAATTTGATAATGCACGACAAAGAACTCGAAAATGGGATTGCCTCTAGACTCTGAAATGCAGCTTCTGAAAATTGAGTCTCAGGAAAATATTTACGCACATTAGTACACCAGCATTTTACATTTTTTTAATTAAGTTTGGGGATTGTTAATGTTTGAGAAGACTCATCAGTGTTATCCTCAGGTGCTAAAACCCTTCCTTCGAAGGGTTGTGTTTGTGTTCCGTCTTGAATTTCTCTTCTCTCATTCTTACTTGAACGCATCATGTCATTTAATCGCTCTTATCAAGGTTACCAACAGTCAGTGCACAACATTTATTGCTCGGGACCTGTCTGCCTCCTTTGATCCAGGTGATCAAGCTCTTGCCCTTAAAATATTTACTTCAGTTGGCTTACATAGCACATCCATGCTGATTTTCGCCTTTCTCTCAGCCTCTCCTCAGTCAGCCTTGATTTCTTCTCTTCTCCTTGGCCTCTAAACATTGACATATCCCGGGGCTCTGTCCTTGAATTTCTCTCTCTACAATTATTTTTTTAGTGATCTCAACCCTAGGATATCCCTCCATTTATTTAGGTTACCTTTAAATTTTCTCAATAATTTTAATTTTCCGTGTGGAGGTCCTACATAACCATGGTTAGATTTGTTTCTTGGCATTTTAAGTTTTTGACCCTAGAATAGATGTTATCTCTTATTATTTTCATTTTCTAAGTGTTTCTTCCTGGCATATAAAATACAATCAATTTTGAATGTTAACTTTTTATTCAGGAACTTGGCTAAATTTGTTTATTCATTATAACAGTTCTTCGTAGTTTCTTTCTGGTTTTCTGTGTACGCAATCATCTCTTCTATCTATAACAACCATTGGAAAAAATCTTTCCTTTTGCTTTGCTCCACTTGCCCTGAGTTCAGCTACACTGGTAACTGGAAATGGTGATAATGCGTATGTTTGTCTCAATCCTGACCTCAAATGATCTACTTCAACATTAATTAATGCAGTATTTTTGGTTTGCTTTTTTCTACTTCCAATTACAAGCTCCATTCCATTCCCAGTTTAATAAGACATTTTATTTTGCATGGATTTTAAATATTATGAAACTACTTTTCTGAGTTGATTGAGGTAATATTTATTCTGATATTCCCTTTTATTCTTTCACGATGTTGACTTACATTGATTGATTTTAAAATTTTGAACCAAATTTGCATTGCTGGAGAAAGTCTAGACTGGTCTTGAAATATTATCTTTTTATTATTTTATTGCATTCAAGGTGTTATCAGTTTGTTTAGGATTGCTGTATCCATACCCATGACTGAAATTAGGCTTCAGCTTTCTGTAATCTTAATATCCTTGTCAGGACTTTTTATCAAGATTATGCTCACCACATATAATGAGTAGCTAATATTTCATCTTTTTATTATTTTAAAACTTCATTTTAGATTCTTATTTCTTCTTCATTCAGTGCTTAATAGAATTCATTGGTGAAGCTATCTGGTCTTGGGGCTATTTTTCTGGGAATTTTATAATTTTTATTCACAGGGCAATTGAAGTTTTCGTTTTTTACTTTCCAAAACTTATTCTAAGTTTTTTAATTTATTGGGAGAATATTGATCATAACATTCTTTTTGCATGATGCTTTTTATGTCTTGTATTATATGTTGTGGTGCCGCCTCTTTTATTTGTCGTGTTGATTATATGAACTCTCTCTTTTCCTAGATTGGTATTTATCAAATGCATTAGCCTTTTCTGAGAACCAGCTTGTTACTTTGTTGATCCCCTCTATTGTTTTATTTTCCCCTATAGCCTTACCTTTTTACTCTTATCTTGCTATAGTTTTCTCTAATTCTCCAGGTTTAATTTACTCCTATGTGTCTGTTTTGTTGAGAAAGGAGCCTAATTCACTGTTCTTCAGCTTTTCGTCATTGCATATTTGCCTAAATCTCCCTCTAAACACAGTTGACTTTCATCTCACAAGTTTTAAAGTCACATTTGTATTACCGTGAAATTTAAAATATTTTTTAATTCCCAAGTTTAGTTTTTGTGACCCAAGGTTAATCAGAAATATGCAGCTTAAGTTCTAAACATTTAGAGATTTTCTAGTTATCTCAGTGATTTCTAATGTTATTCCCCAATGGTTCAAAAACAAGCTTTATATGATATTAAATCTCTGAAATTTATTAAGATTACTTAATGGTCAAGACTTTGGTAAACTTTTAAAAATATTTCAAGTGTATTTATAAATAATATTTATGGCCCAGTATTCTGTGGATGTTGAGTCAAGTTTTTGAATTAATTTAATATTCAATGTCCTTAATTGTTTTTATTGTTCTTCATTTACTGAGAAAGATGTCTTGAAAATTTCTTAGTAAGATATTGAGCTTGCTAATATTTTTTTACTTCTGTCTGTTTATGCTTGCATAATATGTTGATTCTATAGTATTAAATGTATACAAATTTAGAATGATGATGTCTTTCCAATGAATGGAAGCTTTACCATTAGCAATATTGTTTTTCACTTCTAGTTATTATTATTTTTCTTAAAATTTGTTATTGTCTACCTTTGCTATTGCTTTAGGTTAAGGCTTACATGGTATATATTTTTCTGAAATGACAATTTTAGTCTTTCTGTAACCCTATATCTAGAAGAACCAAATGACATTTATTTTTTCTTTCTGAAATGAAATATATATTTTATCCCAGTTGTAAAATCTTTATGACTTAAAATATTTAATTTATTTAAATATAATGTAACATTTGGTTTTAAATTTACCAACTTTCCATTTCATTTTTATTTGTCCCACTTGGTCTGTGCCCTTTCTCCTCTATTTTCTTACTTTATCATGAACTATTTCTTCTTCATTGCCTTATTGATTATACAAATTCTTACTGTTCTTTTTTTTTATTACCATAGAGATTCAAGCATTCATTCTTTTTTTGTTTTATGTATATTGAAGCTTTATTAAATCAAGGATAGGAACGGAAGATCTACATGTTATTTTCCAACATTTAAAAGTATATGTTTACTAACAGGACAGCAAGGCTTTTACTGACATATTTTTGAAGTCGTATGAGTCTTCATTCCTAACCCCAAGCCTGCATTCTGGACCTGGCCAAGTGGGCACCAGGCATGGGAGGTCCAGGTGGGCGGGGCCCATGACACAGGGGGCTCCATCTACTCCAACTGGGTCAGGACTGCTATTCACATTCAAAGGACATTGGGCCATTAAGTTCAACTCAGAAAACATTTCATTAGGGGAAGCGGCAACAGCTAGAGTAATACAAACAAAAAAGTAAGTCTCTGACTCACATTTTTGGCTCCTTCTCCTGGAAACTATACCATCTACCTAAAAAAGCATGGTTTCAAAAACTCCATAGAAGCCCATAATGAAATTCTGCACCTCTTGAGGACCAAACATATCAACGCCGATTAAACCCATCCCAAAGGGTAGTCTGTTACACTGCGGATTTTGCAGAATGTCTTCTAGAAAGAGCCCCTCGATTACTTTTTCCCGTAGTTCTTTTTACATCAATTGTACACACAGACAGTTCATTTTTTTCTAACGCATTAACAATGGTATTTTAAAAGAAATTAATTATACACGTTTCAGAGTCTTAGAGCTGTGAGAGGCATCTGAAATCTTCCAATCAAACCTCTTCTTTTCATTCTTAAAATCCAGTAAATATAAAAACGATATAGACGACATGAAAACAGGCACTAAGCGATATGAAAAATGGAAGTCAGTGTGAAGATGTTAAACACAGACACACATTTATCTAGGCATTTGGGAGGAATAAGCTACTTCATGTCCACAAAAGTGGTGCTTTTCAGAAGCATCAGAAGACACCCAACCATTTCCATGTGCCAACCCATTACTCCCGTGGGCAACAGAGGCTCCTGGTGGGGGACTGGGCTGCTGCTGTTTCACAGACTACAGCGTGAGGGAGGCAGAGGTCCTTTGCAAAGGCCCCAGAGTGATGGTGTAAGGCGGCCAGGAGGATCAATCATGAGCACATGGCTGCTGGTGGAGTCATGGCAGGTTCCCTTCATGTGCCTGTCTTGTCATTTGCCAAACACAATCAATAAACTGAAGAAATATTGGGGATCGGTCAGCATCCGCGTGGTTGTCATTGCCATGGCCCACACACACAGTGCAAACTTATGTCCAAAGCTGATCCACTCCTTTTCTATGAGAGCCTCGAACCCTTTAATGGTACGATAATAACTGTCCAACATCAGCATGGCCGGAGACATCAGCTGGGCTGTTCGGTCCCAACCATCGCTGCAATGCACCACCACCGAAGTTTTCCCAGATTCTATTTTATCGGCAATTCTTACTGCCCCAGCAAGAAGCATCCTTATATACTCTAGCCAATGCGTCCCATCCACGTTGGACAGCCACTGTGTCTCATCGATGGAAGGGTGCACAATCTCTTTCAATTTACGTAGTGACTCTCTCAACACGTGAATGTTGTGGATCTCCAAGAACACGAGTTCTGCGTTGGGGTAAGCACTTTCAGTTTCATATCCTCCACCCTTTGCCTTGTTAGTATCAGCAACACTGTTTTGTCGGGCATCAAAGATGATAAGTTTGTGAGACTGTGCATAAGCATCCATTATTGTTTGCAAGTATTTTTCATCTTCTTTGCAGCATTTATCATTGGGACCCACAAGTAGCTGGCTGCAACGGGTAATCGTTGCCTCACTTTCTGGATGAATCCATGACAACACAGGGACTCTGCCTTTTGCTCGAAAGGCTGCCACTTTTGAAAGGTCATCATCTTTCACACTAGTTGGCACAACAATGATGGCAGGGTAGGTGTCACAGAGCTCATAATTACTGTTTACTTTGGATATTTTCCAACTCTCATTTGGCAAGCCCTGTCTCTTATATTCAGATACTGGATCATAAACTTTCCATGCATTAATTGGAAATTTCTCTTTATGGTTGAATGCAAAGAGTGCCTGTCCGTTGGAAAGAGGAAATGCACGTTCGGTGAGGTTTTCAAATATCCCCAGTTTACTCTGTTCTTCCTGTTTGTAAGCAAGTCGTAAGTTCCTCATATCCTTGCACACGATCTCTATACCACAAGAATTGTCCTCGTGGCTCTGCGCGCCAATCTTCTCAACTCTGCTGATCACACCCAGGGGAACATCAAGGACGAAATGTGGGTCCCTCTACATTTCTGAAGTACCTCTTGAAGTCAGTCACTGTCAGGGTTCCACTCACTGCTTCCATAAATGGGCAGACATACGTGACGTCTTTCACAACGGCCTTGATCGACTCTCCTGGAAAAAGTGGTGCTTCTTCCATCTGTGCCAGCTTATTTCCATCTCTTAGAGCCTTGTAATCTCTGGATACATTTTCTGATGTCACTGGACCTGAAATCTGACTAGAAATTGTAGCAGCTATAAGCTGTTTACACCATTCAACATGGGATCCTGTAGGACTGTCCAGGGTCTCCACGCTGGGCTGCTGGGCTGCCGGGCGCCGGCTGCGGGGCCCCCCGCCCCCCGAGGGGCCTCCTGCCGCCCGCCGGCTCCGGGCCCGGGACCCCGCCTCCCTCGCTGCCCGCCGCCGCTGCCGGCCTGGCCGTGACGCGCCGAGCCCGCCGCCGCGGGGAGCAGAGTCGGGACGGGTCGGCCCGGGAAGGCCGGCCGCGCGCCCCCTGCCGCCGCGCTGCACCCCCCCGCTCAGGCGGCCGCCGCCGTTAGCTGTCCAAGCATCCATTCCTGACTTACTCAAGGGCAACATGAGCACTTTCCAAAGTCTTTAGCTCCATTTCCCATTGTATGACTTATATGTGATTATTGTTATATATTTTAAATACATATATCCCACAATACACAGTAAATATTCTTTTACATAATTATTGTTTACTTCAGTTACACACGTATTTAGCTTTTCATTGCTGTGTATTTCTTTATCTATAATGAACTTCCATCTCAGATTATTTTCCTTCTCCTGATCAACAATTGTGCAATTCTACTGGTACGAAATCTTCTCTTTTTTTCGTTCTTGAAGGATATTATCAAAGAATATAAAATTCTAGGTGAGGTAATATTGTTCCTCAGCTCTTTGAAGATATCGATTCAATGTCTTCTGGCTTCCTTTTTGTTTTTCTGTTGAGAAATTAGCTGTCCCTCTATTTTTTTCCCCCTCTTAAAGTGAATCTATCATTATCTCTCAAGGCCTGGAAGATGTTTTGTTTGCTCTGGATTTATAACAATTTCATGCAATGTATTTCAACATGATTTTATTTGACTCATCCTGCTTGAGTTTCATAGGGTTTCTTTAATTTTGACTTATCATTCATTAGTTTTGGAAATTCTTAGGCATTATCTCCTCAAATATTGCTGTACTCCATTCTGTCTTCCCTTCTTCTGAGATTTCAATACAATATGCTAAATTTTATCACTTTTATTCCTTATGTCTCTTTTACATTTTCAATCATATTGTCTTCGTATGCTAGATTTTGTGTACATTCTTCCGACATGTTTCTGTTTTTAAATTAACACACTGTTGTAAATCTGTATTGATTGTATAATTTTGGTTTTGAGTTTTTAACTTGCGAAATTTCCATTTGATTCTTTATTATAATTCCCATTAGATTGCTTCCTATGTCTTTAAACATATGAATTACAGTTATTTTAATGTGTGTGCGTCTAATATTTCATTTACCTACGTCCATGTGGGTTATATCAGGATTTTTCTTTTCCATGGTTTATATCACATTTTTATTTCTATTCATGCACCAGATTTAATTTTATTTAATACTAGACATTGTCTTTGAAAAAAAAGGTTCAGAGATAATCTTAGTCCTAAGGCTGTGTAAACTTTCTTGAATAGAGACTTACTTTCGTTTTGAAAGGGCACTAGTGGGAACCTGCAAACTTCAGTTCTGATCAGGTCTTATCTATTTCCTGTTTGCTTTCACTGCTAGAGCACACCCTTTTGGTTCTAAACACAAAGAGTAGAGATTTTACTAGTGCCTATCTCCTCAGAAGGCTCTAGAATCTTTTATCACCATAGTTCCCAAGACTGTCAAAAACTTGCTTAGCTCCTTAGATCTGGCCGTGTTTTCCTGAATATACAGATGCCTATAGAGGAAGAGTAACCCCATAGGCCAAGCTTTTTCTTATTCTCTTGTATTTTGGCACTATGATTCCTCAAAACTATTATTTATACCTTTTTGATGCATTTAAGCAGATGTTTAAAAAACATATATTTTGTCTAGCTTTTCTAGCTCTCCTTGAAAGAAAAGATGATTTAAAATATCTAATTCACTATTATCAGAGAAAATTTAAAATAATCCAATATTGTTTTTAATGGTTTCCTAAAGTTTTTTTGAACATATATTAACAATGTTATTTTTAGTATTGAGTATTTTCCAATGTTTTTCTATCGTCACCTTTCAGATGACCAACCTGTTATCTTAATTTTTAATTATATCAATGTGTATAGGCATGATAAGGTAGAAGAGCAGTTAAAACCCCATGTTTATGAACCACACTGAGGAAATAGATCATCGTGACGGGGGAGCCAATAAAGGGACATGTGTAGGAATTTTCAACACAAGAGGTAATTTGACAATTAGGAAAGACTTTGAAATTAATGTTTAGAAGTAAAATAGAAAATAAGAAATGAAATCTGAATCAATTAATCAAATATTATACACACGATGCTGAATAAAAGTTCTACCAAAGTATTATTACAAATTTTAAAAAAAATCTCAAGGAAAACAGCATTGTTTTTTCTAAGTGTTAAGTTGGAGTAACTCAACTCTTTTTACTATAGTCATATAGCCATATTTATTTCTTTTCTAAATGCATCACTCCCTCTAATCTGCAAATCATAACATTTCTCATATTTGACATTTCTGTTTAGCAATTGTAACAAGACATAAAATTCAATATTTTAAAAGGTGAAGATAATCTGTCACTTATTTCTTCTCTATTAATTAGCTTTCTATTTGTTTTTCCTCTTTCACAAAATCCAAGAAACATATCATTTCAGTTATTTATTAACATCTTTCCCGCATATATCTCTTTCTTTCCATTGCCACTTCTGAAATCACTGTCAGTTTGTTGATTCAACTTTTTCTTGTCTATAACTTCTCTCTTTATCTAACAATCTGACATTTATTAACCTCTGAAAATACCGGTTTCATGTTTTTCCCTGTGATAGATGTTATAGTTTCTTACTTGATATCCATTAAAAAACCTTATAAATATACCTAATTAAATATACTTAGCGTCCCATCCTTTCTTGCACATAGACAGCATGTGGCCCTATTCTGACCAATACAAGGTAAATAGAAATATACCAGAGTGGGAGAACGCTTTGGAAAAAGTATGTTTTTTTAATATTAAAAGAGAGTAGACCCATTTGACACATGACTTCTACTAACAGCACACCGTCTAATATTCCAGTAAAATTGCACATAAATTGATTGACTTTGAATCCATAATATATGAGCAATGGCTGAACTGTATGGGTTGGCATTCTGCATGCAAAATGCACACTTATACTATTCCCTATAATGTGAAGTATGATTTTGGAATATTTACAGATTATTTTCCTTTTATGATATATGTTTTAGTGATGCTTAACTTAAGTAGTTTGCTGTTTTGATTAATTATTTTAGGAATGTTATTACCTTCTCATCGTTATTGCAAGCTTAAATAATTGTTAATTTTTAAACAAGAATGTTTAAAATATTCACACTTCAGTGTGAACAAAATGTATCATGTGAGGTAGTGATATCACCAGGAAAAGCTGGTGATTTACTTTGATAGATTTAATTAGATCCAAGGATAGGTCCTCAACTTTGTACAATCAGGGAATATACCAGACTTTAAAAATTAAGACATATATACAAATGTAATTTTTATTTACAATAAAAAATATCAGCATCTTGACCAGCACTTACTCTCCCTGTAGGTAAAACACCAAAGCAGTTAAATTAAAGTCAGAAAGGAGCTGGAAGGCATGGAGTGCCAGTGTGGGGAAGTAGATACCAAATAAATATCTGTTCAATGAATGAGTCTACAGGCAAATGTATGAACATGAGAGATAAAAAGACTTATGATGATGTCTATTTTATGAAGGCCTAGTGAGAAAATTTTTATTTTTATAAAAAACCAACCCCTATAGAATTCACCCGAGATTTACAAAACCAAGTGGAAAAACAGCAAACAAGTGAAAAATGGCTGAGTCTAAGTCTGAGATAATAGCTAAATTTAATGAGTTATATTCAATCCGCTTCTTCGATGTACCAGGGAATATGCTGTTATTTTATGTGGATTTATTTTAATTCTCACAAAATTATTTGAGATAATTTTATTAGTTCTATTTTGTTAATGAGGAAACTGAGGCTTAGAAATATTAACATACCATAGGTGACATAGCTATTAAGAGGATACTTGATGCCATCTGTCTCTGGAGACAATAATCCATTCTTCCCCATGCATTTAGATTAGATTTTCTGAATCATTATAATAGTAAATTCCAATTTCAGGTCAACTGATTATGAATGATATATCTAACATGATGAACATATGAGTCACTAGGCTTGAAGTTTGACTTGTAAATGGTGCTAATTACTATCTGTGTGGAATAAACCTGAAGTACATTCTGGTTGTACCAAATGGGTTTTTTGTTAGAACAAAGTAAAATAGGAACAATGTAACAGTTCAGGCAAACTCCTTAAGCTAGGCATTATTGACACCTATCATAAGAGGAAAATAATTATAAATATTCCCAAGTTATTCCCCATGCTGCAGGGACTAGGATAACTATGCATTTTGCATGCAGAATGCAAACTCATACAATTCATCCATTATTCACACATTCTGGTTGAAAGTCAATTTATGCTCAACTTTGTTGGAACAACGGGACAGTTGCCTGGCCGTATAATCAAACAGGTGGAGAAGAGCTTCACTCAGAGCCACATTGCATAGCACAGTTCAGCGAACTTGGGCAGTGCAAAATAATGCACACATTTTAGATCAGATCTGGGTAAACCTTCCATCTTTGTTGCTGTCAATCTGTTGACAAGAGAGGCTTGTCATTTTTGTTTAAAAAAGTAAAAATGTTTTCAAATGAATGCTTTTGTGACAAAGTGGACTGTTAAATTGTCTTCTGAATCTTGCAGTTTAACCATTAATCATATAAATATGGAACAATAACGTTGAAGATACAGGTTTCTAGCAGTAAAAAAAGCTAGTTTGTCACCAATGTCAGTTATATATTCAGCAAAAAATATGAAAGTAATGGCATTATTTTGGCTCTAGGGAGAGATTTATACTGTTCACTAGAAAATGCACTTTGGGGTCATTTCTGTTGAGAGACTGACAGCTTACTCTTCACTTGCAGTGTCCCACCCTCACTACCATGTGTCTGTGGGACAGCCTGCCGATATTGGCCAAAGGTCTTCTAGCAAGATGTGTCTCACCTGTCTGTCATCCTTCCCAAGCA